AAATTAAGTAAAGGCATAAAAACCTTAACTGGAAGATAACAGCAACATAACTCGATAATTTTTAAAACAAAAAATGCACAATTTACCAATATATCAGACTAAAAAATTGAGCTGACCGAGCCGAGTAATAGAGTGGGTATATATATATATATATCAAGCAAGGTAGTAATTACAATTTTGAAAAACTAATTTTGGTCTAGAAAACATCTTGCGCAATATGCTGCAAAATAAGTAAAATATATATTAAAAAAAAAAAAAAATGTAGTAAGCTCGCCTAAAAGTTACCAAGAGCTGCTGCTCCAAAAAGTTCAACACGTTTTAAAAAAAATTAATACATATGAAAATCACACCATTAAACATGTAAAACATTAAAAAAACAGAATCAGATAAAAAAGTAAGCGGAAAATGGTAAATTAGCCCAACTCGACCTCCAAACTGGCTTTTCAAGGGAAATTTAATTTATTTGAACGTCGAATCAAGCTAACCCCATTACGCGTTTCGCCGAAACAGACAACTGAAACTTTTTCGCTACAAAAATTTTTTTAAATTTAGACAAAGTGTCTTGGAAATTTTAATAGTCTCAATTCTATGTTCCAATTTCCTGACGCGTCCGCACAAAAGGACACATTAAGGTGTTAAAATATGTTAAACTATACCTAAACATCTTAAATCTAGACTAAAATCAAAATTAAAAATAAAATCAAAATAGAAACGAAAATAAATAGCGGTCAGCTATTAGTCCTAAATATACAAAAAACATACGGGCTGGGCCTGCAAGCTTAAAGGTTAACAATTTAATTTTTTAAATATTTTAGAAATCTGTAAAGAAAAACTGTAATTATATATATATATATATACTTTTGGTGCGGCCGATTGTAACTAAAAAGGGAGGTGCACAACTGCATGTTATAGCAGTCCTATGTACAAAATTTCAACGTTCTACGGCTACTCGTTTTTGTGGTATGCGAAATATATACGTACAGACGTCATGGAAAAATTCTCTTCTGAATCCATTTAAATCGATTATTATTATTTTTGTGGGGAAAAGGAGTCTTTTATTCTGGCCTTACTTACAGATATGGCGCAAAAACATAGCTGTCAAAATAGATATTTTCGTTGAAATATGATATTCGGAATTGTTTGTGATTATAATACTTTGTAAGAAAGTACAATACTTTGTAAAGTAACAGAGTAAGTATATATATGTATATATATATACGTTTGCTGCTGCCGACTGCAACCAAAAAAGAAGTGCACAACTGCATGTTATAGCAGTTCCATTTAAAACAAAATTTCAACTTTCTGCGACTCTTCGTTTTTAAGTTATGCGAGATGCATATGCAGGTACGTGCAGACGTCGCGAAAAAAATCTCTTTTGAATGCATTTTGTAGTCCATTTTGGAAAAAAAAAATCCTTTATTCTGTCCGTACGTACAGATGTCAAGCGAAACCTTCGCCCAAATGGATTCGAGAGCGGTCAAAATGGATGTTTTCGTTGAAATATGATATCCGAAATTTTTCGCGATTACATTACTTCCATTACTTCGTGAAGAAAGTAATTAAACAAAACGTTAGCTTAGAAACAGTATTATACTCATTAGCAAAATATTTTTTCTAGACTTTCCTCTTAAGACAATATTGAGGTTGGTAAAACTTTCTTGTTTAAAGCCATTGATAAACTTAAGGATATTTCTTCTTGGCAATAAATTATAGTTCCTTTTGACTAGAATTGACTTTTTAGTATCTTTCGGAATTAGGAAGTTTTAAAATATCTGAAAGCCAAACTTTGCAAATTTCATTTGTCTTACACTGAAATAGATGAATGAATTATTTGTTCATCTAATTGTTCATCTAATTGAGTTAAAATAGTTCATCTAATTGAGACTCAATTCGGTTTCCAAATAATTACTAACGACAAACTCAAAGCTTAATTGCTTGTATTCTTAATTAATTATGAATAACAGTGAAATACTTGCTGACAGTTCCATATACTGCTTTGAGGTCAGATTGTTTGAAAAACCTTCTTTTCAGGTATGAATAACCTACGTTGATGACACTTTCAAACTTTTTTCGATAATAAACAAGGTTTTAGGATGATTTTGTCTGAATTCCACTGATCAAACTATCCAGTTCCTTTTTGAAACAAAATCAAGTGAATCCCTTCCTTTCCTCAGTACTCTAATTATCTGCAACGAATTTCATTTCAGTACTATTAATTAACGAAATTTTGTTTGCTTGTTCGCTTTGTTGCTTTGTCATCCTTACAAATAGAAAATGGCTTCAACTCTTAGGTATATCGTGCTTTAGAAGTATGTTCTTCGAAATCCTTTCTTTGGCAAGAATTTAATTATTTCAAATCGGTTGCCATTCACAGAGGGTTTTCTGCTTTGCTATTTGATAAAATCTTAAAATTATTTCCTCTTGTCGTCATAAAAAACATTTCGCTGTTAGAAATCTCCTAACAAGGTGTCCGCCGAAAATATCGCCGACGAAAACGTCGCAGGGAAAACAACGCAAGGCGAAAATGTCGTGGGAGAAAAGAAAGCAAAGAGAAAACATCGTGGTACAAAATATCGTCGTCGAAAATAAAGCGGTTCAAAAACTTCACAGTTTAAAAACAGCGTCGTCGAAACTATCGTGGTAAAAAGTACAAATCATAGCTACAAAATCATAGCATGATGATAATGTCGCACACATGCATTTTGCAGATTTTAAAAGTTGTAAATGCCTATTCGCATAACGATTTGGGAGTGCAGGAAGGAAAGAGGGATATTTTTACTTCTATAGTTTATATTTTTGAATGATCTAATAAATTTTTGTTGAAGAGTAAAAAGGAAACTTTCGTATTTAAAAATTGAAAATGAGTAGAAAAGTAATGCAACTTACAGCACTTAATAGAATTTAAAATTTACATTGTTATTTTACAAAATGTGGTTTATAAATTAATATTTTTTTACAAAGTTTTACTCATAATATTTCATGAAAAATACAGCCTAAAAATGTTTAGAAAAAGGAAGATAAATAACTGCATGAGGTTGCCTCAATAAAAATTGCTTAGTTAATTATTAAAATACTTTCTTTCACGTTTGTTTATCTGATATTTTTTTGGTGAAAATTATACATTGTGTTGCTTCCATTTATTCTTAAAGTATCGCTAACATTCCTTGCGCTTCCAAATCTTTATGCGAATATACATTTACAACTTTTAAGACCTGAAAAACGCATGTATGCGATGTTATCGTCATGCGATGATTTGTAGGTGCTTTACTTTTTACCACGATATTTTCGACGACGATGTTTTCAAACTGCGAAGTTTTTGAATCGCTTTATTTTCAAAGACGATATTTCGTACCACGATGTTTTAGAACTGAGATGTCTTTTCCTTCCTTCCACAATGTTGTGTACCACGACGTTTCGCCTTTGCGATGTTTTCGGCTGTAACCCATAACAATCGTCACAGTGTGGTTGTAAGCCCATTTCATGAAGTCTCTTAGAAACAAAACTGCATGAATTCTCCAAAATTTAAACTGAGTCGTTGCAACCGTATCATTAAAATCTTTTGTTCGATTTTTAAAAATTCCATCTCTGACTAATTGCTGAGGAAATAATTGCATTTCTTATCGATCTATTTTAGTATACATAAAGTAAACTGAGATAATGTCAAAATTTCGCATTGAAGAACAAGAATTTTATATGGGCAAAGGAAATTATCATTCGTATATCGTTCGTAAAGTAAAAATAATCATTTTAGGTTGCTAATTAACTAATAATGAATTCACATGCACTTCTTTTCGTATGTGCCGAAAGAGCAGGCACAAAAATGAATACCGTTGGACTGGGTGATAGTGTTGACTTTGAGCTACCAACCAATTTTCTCTAAACTAAATAGAATTATCATTAAGTACCTTTTGTAACTGTTCCTTTAATTTTCTAAAATTTTAAAGCATGACTAAATCGTAAATTCCTTTAATGTGTGAAAATGTTTCTTTCTACACGGAAGACAGTATTTTACTATCTACAAGAAATTTAGTAATTTATAAAGATGTTTGTGATATGCAAACTGTTTTGTGCTAGCTGTCGAAGTATTAGAGTCTCTAGAGGTGGAAAGAATCGATATGAATTACAGGAAGTTATGTTGACTGCGAGAGTTATTCTGATTACCTATTAGTCAGACAATTTCTAAAAAGTCCCGAATGTTTAAAGAATGTAAATGTAATTTCTTCTTATGTTCTTATAATTTAAAAATGTTCCTTAATATTGTTACGAATTTTGTACGTAGATAGATGATTTTAGAGCAGTTATTTATGAAATCAGTGTATTTTCCTGCGAAACGTAACACAAAAACTCTTAGAAGAGAAGCTAAGCCGAAAAAGTAAGAATACAGGGACAAGTCCATTTAACATTCAGCAAATGGGTATCTCGGTAACTTAACGAGATATCGCCAAGCTGACAATGATTTTGGCGACTTATTTTGTTTTGAAAATTGTGTTTCGGTGACCAAATTTGGTGACAAATGTCAAATTTGACGACTTTTGGCGAGATTTTGATCCGTTCCCTGTATCACCGTAATAAGTATTGTAATTGAATAAATTTAATTGATCATTGTATTAGCTGTAACCGTAATTCCATCCTCGTATTGCTTCAGTAATTTCGAGAAGCAGAAAGTACTAGAAATATCTCGGCGGCCGTTAGAAAACTATTTAAAGCCGAAGAGAGAGCATTCTACTTTCAGTTGCTTAGTTATTTTTGCTGTGAGTTGTTAGTTCCGCGTGAACGAAGATACCCGAGTTAGCTTTCTCTATAGATACTCTTTGCATTGCGTTGTGTTTAACATTCTAAGTAGTTTAATGCGTAATTACTGATTGTACTCTGTGATACTGTGAACTCCTGTACGAGTATTTCTGCGAAAAATTCTAGAACGTTGAAGTGTTTATTTTTGATAAAATAAATGTTATTAACATATGACCGGACCTGTGTGCATTCAATCTATTACAAATCCGTGAGCACGTAACAGTGTTTATTAGATTTTTGATACATTTTATCTTATTAATGTTAACGAAAATGTGCTACATTTTGAAACTATGCAACAGAAACTTACAACGATTTTAAAAACATATCTTTTATATTTCACATGTTAACAAAAGTATTTCCTCTGCTGAAGTAAATAATGCGAAACATTTAATGTTAAAGTCGAAATTTTAAATATGATGTTCTAATAAATTTTTTTAATTAAAAAAACCTTTGTAATTAATTGTTACAGAAGCAATACTTGCGTAAGGTCCAATGCCTTATGCAATTGGACTGACTGCCAAAAGTATTTATTCTGCTGATGTCACCCAATACTTCTGCGACATCGTCTGCCACTGAAACTGTGGCTTCGAAAATTCCTTTGCTAGGTTTGGCTTCTATTATTATTCTAACTTTAGTCGAAGGAGATGGTGTAGCTTCTTCTTCGGCTTTTCGAAGAATATGGGCACTTCTGATTGCAGCAAGAACTAATGTTGCACATTTTTCTTTTATATACGGCCCCTCACCATGCAACATGGCATTGATGCGATCAATAGTCGCTTTTGCTGCAGATCGGGCTGTGGTATCTGTTACTGGTATAGCCGAAGCTATCTCACATACGCAGTAATGATCTGGGACTGAAGCATTAATGCAGGTACGATCAGGAGGAACTTCAACAAATAACGATTGACCCAAATCTCCTTCAGGGGGCTTAGACTGCCCTAGCGGTCGTCCAGTCACAGCAAATTCTAAAATATCCATTAGTGTGGCATGTATATCGAAGGGCACCACAAGCCGGCCGCTGTTAACCCACAGATTTTCCAAGATTTCCGGTTGAAGAGAAGATATATAATTTGGAATGCGAATGGAAAAAAATGGCATTCGTTCTTCTATTGCTCCTATCTACGAAAGGAAAAGACGGAAATAATAATTCTAATATCAAATATAAACGAAAAAAAGAATAAAATAATTTTAAGATACAAGTGAATATATACACAAGTTTTAAAGTGCACTTTTATCTTTTTACTTAATGAGCTACATATATATATATATGGGTGTATGTACAATAGATTGTTTAATATATTATCTCCCTTGAATTCGATGAATTGAATTAACATGTTAGCCTATTTAAAATGGAATTATTAAAATGAAATAGTTAAAAATGAAAATGTAACCAATAATCTAAGCAATTATCGTCATTTTTTTTCTCTTTCATTTTGTTCGTTATTATCATCAAAATGTTAGAAATAGATTATATATATATATATATATATATATATAAGTTTTAAACGAAATAACTACTATATTCAATATTTTCACATATATGAGAAATGTTAATGGATATTAGTAATTTTTGCTCTAATTATAGTCAAATAACACACGACAATATTATTATTTATATCAACTGTCATGAATTCCATGTCCCTCATTTTTGCAGTGGATTTTTATATGAATGGGGAAATTTTGGGCAGTTTTGGTTGTGTTTCAAGGTCGACCTCTTCATCGTTCACAAAATGTAAGTATTTTCTTATCATTAGAAATCTATCGCAAGACATAACTTTTCGAAAGAATTAAGTTTCAAGACGTACTTTTTTTGATCAAAAAATTGAGACATCGGGCTTCTGAATAATACCTTGTAAAACATGGAGCAAGAGAAATATTTTAATTTCATGGTCATTTTTAGGTATCCACCTTTTTAATCAGCTTTTTGGTTTCAGATATTGTCTTTCGACGTATTGGTGCGCATATCTATTAGTCTCTTCCGTAATGATGTGAATCAAATTGTCATCCAAAAATAGTTCAAAATTTTGTTTTTCTTGAGTAAAGTAGAAGTGTCAATTTCCTTCCACTTGTGGTTGTTGGAATGGGAATCTCGGAAGGCCTGGAGGAAACATAGCGACATGCAGGTTCGGCATGAAGAGTTTCACTTTCCTCGTCACTTTCGAAATAGTCATGCTTTTCTGTTTAAATGCTGGTATCTGAGCATGAAGATCCTAACAAGCATTCTTCATCATCGTCTGATTCCGATATTGCGAACATAATGCGGTTTGAATGAAATTTGAAAAGAACTGCAAAATTAAAAAAAAAAAAAAAAAAGGAGGGGGGGGAAACGACAAATGGCGCGAAACTGCCGAACTTTTAGCGGGAACGTATCGCCATCTGTTGGAAAAATGGTAAACTACATATACATTGGGAGAACTGAGTTGGGGCTTCACAGAATTGAAACACTGATTTTGCTCTTGCCCGAACTCAGGTCGAACATTACAAAATTGGCGCATTTGCGTTGCCCGAACTGAGTTCAGGCGTCACAGGCAAGCGGTTAATAATTTTTTATTACCATGCAACCAGTTTTTAAGATAGATGCAAGCAGTCTTTAACCCATGCAACCAGTCTTTAACCAGATAATCTTTTATTAATCTTTAATCCTGCAATCCTTTACTACTATGCAACCATTAAAACGCCCATTCAGACAGCCCGTTCGCGGGATTCGAACTTCGGACCGAACTATCAGTGTTCAGCGACTTTTTCCTTTCGCCCGCTGGTGGGCACTTTGGACTGCAAATTAAGTCGGAGCAGGCATTCTCAGAAGAAAGTGGAAGTCGGTATCTTCAGAAATAAGTTTTTAAAGAAAGATTCCGGAGGGACGAAAGCGAATGATTCACAAGACTTGATTTACACCACTTTTAAGATACGCAGCTGACCTGATACTGAATATTAAGTTGAGCAATTGATTACTGCATTTTAGACCACCCAGATAAAGTTGGAAATTGTTCAAAATAATGCTCTTATGATAATCGCACCCGATGCTGTCTTCACCCAGCTCAAGCAATGCAGCTACAGACTGGTATGATACCATTGGTTGACCGGAAGCAAATATCTGCATTGAAATTATTTTAAAAAATTTCTGAGATGTGATAGTTTTTGGCCGACAAATATACCAGATCAACTTATAGAACACTTGAAAAATATTCCTGGATATAACAAAAGAGCAGTCAAATTTGTCTTTAATTGAAGTCCTCTGTTTAAACTTAATATCAGGAATATATCAATATAGTTAACTATAGTCTGGACCTGGTTCTTTCAATAAGCAAGAAATATTCCACATATACAGAGGCTACTGTCGCTAGAATTAACGAGATACGCTCCTGAAAACTAGTTGCACATTCATAGGAATGGTCAGGCTGTGGATATCATTAAAACCGTTGGAGTTGGGGTAGAGTCAAAATGTTTTAATCTCAGCAGAGCTATTGGTAAATTCTGCGATAACTTTGATGGAAAAGTGCCTGCTGTTTGTTTAGGGAAAACTGGCAAAAAATGCAATGAACTATTGTTTGTTTTATTGACTTTCATGCTACAATTAAAAGAATTTCTTCTCTTTACTTGCAGTAAAAATACACTTTATGATTGCTTAATTCTCTTTTTGGATAGAGGACGACATGTTACTTTACAATGAATCTCCAACCATTTCAGCATTATTAGAAATGACCTGACGGATGGCCTGATCAAGGCTGGTTCTGATATGTCTTAACTCCATGCTTTTGTGGATTTTTCTGCTATCCATAGATTTATTTAACCCAGAATCAGTTTATGTAGGACGAAACACTTTGAAGAATTAGTTGGGGAAAAGTCATATTGTAAATTATCTTTCCCCATAACTTACTTACAGCTGTGGATGGGGTATATGTTTGTATCGGAATAGACTTACGACTATTTGCAAAACCATCTTCATCATAAGAGGTTAGTAACTTACAAATATGCCCGTTATGTGGCTTGACTGACTGCCCGATCTTAGTAACATTGCAAACAATAATTCCTGCAGATGAAGTTATAAGGTATTTCTCCCGCTTTCTTTGCATGTCTTCGTGGTTTAGTGGTCAGCACACTCGGCGCGTATTCCAGAGGTCCGAGGTCCGAGGTTCGAGTCCCGGGGAGGGCACTGCACATTTTTACATCTCTTGCTTTTACGTAACCTAATGTCTCTACAGGTTTAAATTTTACTTGGTTCAAGACTTTAACTGGCTTGACGGCAGGATTTAAAGTCTAAAACAGCTGCTGTCCGAAGAAAGTTTAAAAAAAAAAAGAATTTTGTTTCCACTCACACAGAATGAAGATGAACTATTAAACGTATTTTGCAATTATATAATTTAGAAAGGAGATGATGACCTGTGCTGAAATAGGTTGCAAATAACAGTAATCAGAGTTTATATTTATACTCTAAAACTCTAAGAATGATTAATTTAATTCTGATTTCAGTTTTATTAAATTTATAGCTATAGACAGAGGTATCTTACCGGAGTTTTTCTGATATTGTCAAATCTATGCCCATGATCGGAAAAGACAATCAATACAGTATTTTCCAGGAAGCCTTCATCGTTTAAAAATTTGAGGAATTCTTCAATATGGCCGTCAGCTGCCGATATTAGAGGTAACGTATCGTGACTGAGTTCTGCTAGAAACGAGAAACCAAAGAATGGGATGCTTTTTTTCTTGTATGTTGACACAAATCTTCGTACATATTCTATCTAGTAAAGAAACAAAACAAAACATTAAATTTTGGCAAATGAAAATTTTATTCTTCTTATGTAAAGTACGGTTTCAAGCCTTCGTCTGTTTTATTACTTCCTTGTACGAAGTATATTAAGTATTGTAACAGCAAAAAATTTCGGGTGTCGTATTCGGGGTCTGAATTTCGGGTTCGAGAGCGGTCGCAATGGATATTTTCGTTTAACAGTGTTTTTGCCTAACATCTGTACCTAAGGAAAGAATAAAGAACTGTTTTTGCCAAAACAGATTGCAATATAATTTATTATTTTAAAAATATGATTTAAAATAGTTTCAGAAGAGATTTTCTTGACGTCTGTATGTACGTATATATATATATATATATATAACGCATAACTCAAGAACGATTTGCTGTAGAATGTTGAAATTTTGAATATGGGACTACTATAACATGTAGTTGTGTACCTCCCTTTTTCGTTTCAATGGGCTGCAACGAATCGTATATATATATATTATAAGGTATTTCTCCCGCCTTCGTGGTGTGGTGGTCTGCATTGCTGGGCGCGTATTCCAGAGGTCCGCCGTTCGATTCCCGGCGAAGGCATTGCTCATTTTTCATTTTACCTGCTATACCTACTTTCATTTTACCTGATTTGAATGTGTGGTCACTCCTAAAAATACCTAATGTCTCTACAATATATTGCGCATTTTTTGCTTTAAAAGTGATTTATTTATATTCTAGTTAAGGTAATATTTGTAGAATTATCAACAATTTAAAGGTGGTTAATACAGTTAAAACGATTAAAAAATAATTAAATTGTTGATAATTAATTTATTTCATTATTAGTTTAATTATTTTTTAATAGTTTTAACTGTATTTGGTAATTTTTGTATTTTACAAAACTTAATGAAGATGTTTTGAGCTTTTATGTATTTTTGCCTTGCCACGAATTGAGAACTGAATTAATTGAATGAGAAATCTATCTCTAATGAAATTCGAGGAAATAAGTTTGAATGAAATGCAACAAAAAATGTGTATAATTTAATAGGCCGTACAAGGAAGTCATGCCGTGTCCACACCAAATTTTTTATTTAAAAATTATTTTAAATGAAAAGTGGGATTTCTTCAGCTTTTTTTTTTTCTTTTTCATGAGAGCTATCCTAACCACCAGTTATAGAGATTCTTCTCTGACTAAGTCGCATTTGCTATCTCAATGATGCTTTAAAATTAGACTGACTGATATATGGCAAACATATTAATCATACGACGGAACTCTATGCTTATTATAAATATATTATAAGGAAACCCAATTTTTAACCAACCCAGACCGCTCTATGCGAACTTTCTTTGGACTTTTTTTTCTTTGGATCAGATGATTTCTTTGGACTTTTTTCCTTCTTATGCTTATGCTTCTTTTTGATTTCTTATTTAAACCCTGGCCTCAGATGACTCTTCGAAGTATTATTACTTTTCTGTCAGACAGTGAAAATAAGTCAGAGAAGAATATTTAAAAATTATTTCAAAATGTGATTTTTTACAAATGATTTTACGCATTTGAGAAAATCGAATTTATTTGTATCTATGACAAGAGTTAAAATTATGACTTTGCTGTTTTGTACTCAAAAACGTATATTTTACCATTAACAACACATAAGAAAGTGTTACAAGAGCAGTGCCAAATGGCTTATTTAGAAACTATTATTTTATTTCAAATCTGTGCCAAGAGTTGCTTGGGACTTTTATGTCTGTAAAATATGCAAAATCAGTGTTAAAAAATGTACTTGCAATTTGAAAACTGCAGGTTATAATATACAAATCTCGAAGAAGAGTGTATGCCGCCAAGTACCCTCCGCAAGCTCCGACATTTATTATTACAGGAATGGGCGCTACTGCCACAGCATTAGATCAACAACACTATTGCCAGCTCGCTTCGCCGTTGTCAAGTATGGATTTCTGATGGAAGGTATCATACCTATTATTAGCATTATGTTTCCATTGCACATTCTTCCGAACCATTTGGTCTTTAGCGATGTGGTGGTCATAATACAATGTGTTTTGTATGCCTTTGCTTTATTGTTTGCTGTGTGGTCTAATAAGGCCACATCAACCTCTTGAATCAGTTTCACCCCCCCCAAATATTTTTTAATTAGTTCTTGTTTCATTTCGTGTTTTGCCTTTGTTGCTTATTTTTTGAGCAGGAGTGTGTAACGGTTGCTGTTGAAGGTACCTGCAATTCATAGCAGTTGAGATCACCTGTTATAACTAAGGTGCCCGCAGTAATCACGCCTGACTGAGGCATGTGCATTTTTTCTGCCTTTCTAATTATTCGATATTCGACGCTACATCCCCCTAAATCACTGTTTCTTAAACTATGGGTCGCGACCCCAAATGGGGTCGCAAACCGAAATTTCGGGGCCACGAAAATTTAATTCGATAGTTGACTTTAAAGAAACTGCATTCGTAGGACTTTTAGAGAAATTACGATAATTGACATTAATGAGATAGACTTATAAAGACATTACATTAATTGAAATTAGATTAATTACCTGTTACACAAAGTGCAAAAGGAATTTGTAAAACTATCTAGCGATTCGAACCTAAAACGTGAGTTCCCACAAAAATCCTTGATAAATTCTGGTTTGGAGTTAGAACTAGATTTCTCATTATTTCTTTAATTGTCATTAAATATTCTTCTCTCATTCAGCACCACATATTTTTATAAAACTACTTTTTCAGCTTCAACGCTGATTAAAACCAAATGTCTTTCAGTGTTAAAGCATGTTGAAGATGCTTTCTGCCCAGCAGCGTCAAATATCGCACCAACGTTTAATTTGTAATGGAGCGAAAAACGAGCACATCTGTCTCATTAGAAATATCTTTAATTTTTTATCCTAAAATAAATCCTAAAATGCTTCTTTTTATACGTATATTGCTTACCAAACAAAGAAGTAAATCATTTACGGGGGGATATTTATTTTTAGTCCAAAGGGGCTTTGTCCCTGAGGGACTATTGTTTTTCGTTTTGCGATTTTACGTCGAAATACGCGTGAGACTGTGTATCGGGAAATTCTAAAGATATGCTCAATTTAAAATTATTTTGCTCTATTGCTCTTGAACTGAATTTTATGGTTTAAGTGCAAAAAAACATGATATTTAATAAGTAAAGTTAAGACACATAATGTTAAAAAAACGCTCCTTTGGACTTAATTTAAAATCTGAAACCTTTAAGATTTTTTATTATATCTTTATTTTGTATTTAATGTCTGGGGCCGCGAAAAAAATCTCAGTCATAAAAAGGGGTCGCGACTGAAAAAAATTTAAGAAGCTCTGCTCTAAATTTCATTGTGTTTAGATAATTTCTTAATGGTGTTGTGAGTTTCAAAAGCACGAGTTTTTTTATCTGAACAAGTACGATGTATTTTAAAGTCTGGGGGGGGGCAAAACAGTTTCGGAGCGAATTTTCTTAAGCAACTTAAAATAAACCGGTTAACAAACTGAAATGAACATTATATCTTTTAGGGAAGAGTGCAAAAAGAAAGATTTCTAATTTATTTAACCCTCTAACCAGCCAGGGTTTTCGCTAAGAAAGCACAAATTTCCCAAAACTACTGTGAGACAATATTATTTTCTAGATTTTAATGTAAAAATTCTCCTGGTATTTTATACCTGGATTTGTGTGCTTTTAATATATTGCCTTAATTTCTTTGGAGTATTTTACTCTGCACGTATATATACGTTTTTACAGATGTCACAAAAAAATATTCTAGGCCGTATGTATACGGCCTTAGAGGTTAGAGGGTTTTATGTAACGGTAACTGAAAAAAATGCGTTAGAATTACAGTACCTGTAACACATGTCTCGGGGTGCGGCCGTAACACATTGAAGAACTTTCTTTATTGAGGGGAGATTGTTCAACAGCAATCCAAAATGGTCGCAGATAATGGTGGGTAGGAGGATGGCGAAATCCTTTAATGAAATAATTAAAAAGTGCATATTTATGCATATCTTCAGCCCACAAGGTCGCATATCCCTGTGATGAATAAGCTTTCGTAATCAGAGGCCACTCGTCAATGTCGATGGATTCGTTCAGTCCTCCTCCATGTGCTTTAAGACCTAAAGTGAAACCTTTATGTATAGAATTTGAAAAAAAAAAAAAAAAAAAAATGGTTACAGACTTTATTTCTTCAAATATTTATCTTGCACCTGTATCTTCTGTTATAGAATTTCTTAAAATGAAGTATAAAATTATATGAAATTGCTTTAAGCACTAGGACTGTGGTGGTCTCTTTATTATGGTGGCACCTAATAGGTGGGCCACCATCTCCTTTCCTATGAAGGGACGGACAGGTACAACCATGCCTTCTCCGGGATTCGCACCCAGGCCGTTCGGCATCGCAGTCAGCTTCCCTGACCACTATATTGACTGGGCGGCTTTTGTACTAAGTATTGAAACATAGATTTCAAATTTTTTCTAGTGTATTTTTTGTCTATTTAAAGACTTACTTATTATAATACATCATCAAAATATTCCTTGTAATAAAATATAGTGGCTCACACTTGTTTATACACACTTGAGTATTTCAAATTTATTTGCATAGATCTTGTACTAAATACTGACCCACAGACTCCAGATCTTTTTTATATATTATTTTTTCTCCATTTTAAGCCTTGTTAAAAATCCTTGATATGAGGAGCCAGAAGTTTTCTCTTTCTGTAGTCATTTAAAGCAAGTCTTTTGAAATCGCGTTTGGTTTAGTTGAAATGCAGGTGATCTAAAATTCCTTTTAGCAGTATATATGGCTCCTGCCAAACGAAGTAAACACACTGCCGGTTTCAGATGCAAAGTCATTCAGTTTGCGAAAGAAAATGGAAATCGTGCTGCAGCAAGCATGTTTGATATTGGTAAGAGCTCCATACGTGAGTGGAAGAAAAATGATATCACAATAATTAATATAAAAAATCATGAATATGATTTGTGGGAAAAGGGTAATGAAATGCTCTATCCTAAAAGAAAATGCTATCAACTGGGTCCTAAAAAATACCAAAATCGCTAGTAATAGCTATTTTGTAGTAACAGCAGGTACTTGTACAAATCAAATTTTTTTATGCTCATCATTTCCTTATTTTTAAGCCTATCAGGTTCAATGTTCCGTCTTACTTTCTTCGGGAACATGCAAGGACCTGACTCGGAACAGAGAGCTTACTAAAGCTATGTTCAGTCACTGTGGGAAGTAGACAGGATACACACAGAAGGGTATACAAAACCTTTATTTTTCTCTATTACAATAACTTCCGTACTTCGGAATACACAGACCCGCTACTTGTGGTCTAACATAAAAATATAAAAAAAACTAAACTCTAATTTAACTTTAAAATAATAAACGTGGAAGATTGGCCTTATATTAACAGGAAGCCGTATGTAGTACAGAGAACTGTGAACACTACAATTTAAAAATTATCAAGAGGATTAAAACCTCTGGCCTGGAAGGCAACCAGCAACTGAGTAAAACTTCTAAGGTAAGCGGCCTGCTTCGACTAACTGCTTCCTCTCTCTCGCTTGGCAAAAAAAGCCCAACTTAAATACTTGGCGTTAGCCAGACAAAACTTTGCATAAATACATTAACGCTTATAATTCTGGCCGGAAGTAGAAAATAAGAAGTGATAGTAAAGATTTAAAATAAAATAAACGTTAGTAAAACTTAAGATCCTTACATACTTCCCGCCAGAGTTAATTAGTTTGAAACCTGAGGTCTAAAACGACCTTGTTGAAAACTTTTAGCTCTAGAAACTAACGCGAGGCCAATCTTTTACAAACATTTTTCGCTAGAAACTAGAAATTTAAAAGAAAGAAATTTGTTTTTACAATAGCAGCTCCCAGGACACACAATTTATTTCATCTGTACTGCATCTAAACAGGAGCTTTTATTCAAATCTGGTTCCTTCCAGAGATCTGGAAGGAAAACTAGTTTAATGAAATGTTACACAATGAAATGGCAAGTAACATGTATAATTATATTTCTCTTAACATTCTTATTTTCATTCATACTATTTTAGTTATCTCTCCCCGTGCTCTCTGACATGTGTTGTAAAGAACACCAAACATGAATGTGTTTATGTCTATGTGTTCAACACTTCCTCCTACAATCAAAACACTAACGTGTTAAAATTCAACATACTAAGACCTCGTAACACACCCTAATTTCAACTCTAAACCCTGAGGTACTATTCTGAAAGTGGCTAACTCTGAAGTGTAGCGTCAGAGAGCCTAACTACATCATTCAACCTTTAACACATATTCACCATGATTTCGTCTTTTTACAGTCACACGAATAAAAAAAAAATTTAACATTACTTTCACTTTTACCATATCACGGTATTTTTTAACATTTAAAATAACAGTTCACATTGTATATAAGAACATATTAACATGCCGTTAATTTTACACATTTGAAAACATACATTAGTACTACATTGTTAACTTCTATTCTTTTCAAAGCAAGTGCCAATTCTTTCTACATTGAAATACTACATTTCAAAAAGTCTTTCAGACTAAAACTTCTTTCTTGCCAGAATGTTTTAAATAAAATTTATACAATAATTTTTACAATATTTAATCAACTTTAGTTTTACACGCGAGTAATTGAAAAACATAATACCAAAATCGGTAACAACTCATTTCTCGCCCTTTTGGCGATAAATGTAGACCTCGCATGAGGTAAAACTTCTTGAAATCTGCCACTTGCAGTAAGAATGAAAGATTAACTTAAGTTTGCAAAGTAACATAAAATTTTACTTATCTTTGTGATATTCGGACATTCTTTTCTGGCCCAGTCCTGAAAGGTAGTGCAGATTGTTGTTTGATTATCCTCCTTCTTGTACGGGCTCGCCCTTCAGTGCCTTCCTCTAGATGCTTCTTTTTTCTCCAGTTCGGTCACACTTGAATACCTTCTTTTTCGCTTCTGCCTGTGGTCTTGGTCGTTTGATGGCAGTTGGTCTTGGCGGAACCGGGAAACTTCTTTCGTGTTCCTGCTTGGACCCCGTTGCTGGCCGTTCAAATTTTCCTTGTAACTTTTCCTCCGTCGCTGTTGGCCCTTCCGCAGTTCGGCGACATTTGCTGCGGAGAGTCCTGTCGGATGAGTAGATCTTCCGTTTTAGAGCCGGGTTATAGTTGCCGTCATTTCTCCTGGTTCTCTTTGCATACGTCGTCCTTCTCCCTTCTTCATTCTGGGGGTGTTCGTGAGCTCTCTTTTCTGGACGGTGGAACGGCTTCTTTTTCTTGCTATCTTCAATTTTTCGCGCGGGGAAACTTTCTTTTCACTTGCTCCTGCCTCTTAATGGCTTGCCCTTGTACTTGTCGTTTTTCCACCTCTGGAGCTTGTGCATGCGGTGTCTGCCGTGCCGGATCCTGCAAAAGATCTTTGAAAATTTTCATTTTATTACGATCATAGTAGGGTTTGATTTGATCAATGTTTGCGGAGCAGGTTTCACCATTTCTAGCTTTTAACACTACTACAGCGTGAGTTATTTTTTCTATGACATATGGTCCTTCAAATCGTGGAAAAAAATTTGGCAGTTTTATCTTCTGGTGCTGAAGAAAGGGAATGCTTAATTTTTAAAACTTCATCCCCTTACTTTATAAGTTACTCCCCGTCGTTTCAAGTCATAAATAGTTTTTTGTTTTCTCTGTGCTACTTTCAGTATTCTTCTTTGCTTCCTTAATTAGTTTTTCTATATCACCCATTTTAAATTCTGGGGCTCTTTTGTTGCACATAAAATAATTTATCTAACGGCGTTATAATCTTTCTGCCTAAAAATAACTCAGCAGGAGTTTTTGCCCGTTGTATCATGTTTTGCGGTCCTAAGGGCGAAAGCAAATTCATTGACATAGTTATCCCAGCTTTTATGAAAATTTTTACGTAACTCCGGATAATTTTCACTATATTTCTATTGACCTGTTCCGCTATATTTGATTGCGGCCGATACGGGACCATTTTTTAAATGACGTATGCCCAGTTTTTGGCACATGTCTTCAAATACATTACTTACAAATTGAGGACCCATTATCCGATATAACTTTTAGGGGCGCCCCGTATTTTAAAATATATTTATTTAAAATAGAATCAGTAACTAATTTCGCGGAGGCTCGTTTTAAGGGGAACGAATTTCGGTCCACTTTACTAAAATGGTCGATCATAACAAGGAGATAGCGACTTTTATTTAACTGACTTTTTGGGAAAAGGGCCCAATAAATCGATGCCTAATTATTTCATTTGGAAATTCGGATTTAATGCTATTGAGAAACCCGGCCGGGCGGAAATTAACATAATTAACCTACTACTTGGCATACTACTGTTTAACATACTACTTGGCATGTTGGGTAAGACTGGACCATACGCCCTTGTTAACTTTTGCAGTTCAGGAAAATAGAACTGCCTTCGCGTACGCGTTGGATAGGTTTTTCTGAATGCCAGCTATGAGAAGCTAAAGGGCTGTCATGGAGCTCCTGCAGGATATTTAATCTAAGACTAGCTGGGATAACAGGTCGAAATTCGTTGTTGGAATTCGTAGTTTTTGTATAGAATAATAGATCATCTATTAGTTCGTAATGGGCCGCCCTATTTCTTATCGCCACAATATCTTGGTGGCTAAAATTTTCAGGATGCTTCAAATACTCATAAATGCTTCCAAACTCAGGATCCTTACCCAGTTCAGTTATTACAGTTTCTCGGGAATTTATTGTACATGCTGTGAGCATTGCCACCTTTACGGTATTACCTTCTTCATCAATTTTAATTCTGGATAGGGCATCTGCTACGATATTTTCCTTTCCGGGGGTATGCTTGATTACCAATTATATTCTTGTAGCTTGAGTTGCCCATCTTATTAACCTTGGGGATAAGTTTTTCCCTGAGTACAATCTAGTTACCGCCGCATGATCAGAGTACACTGTTATTGGCGCCTTTGGCAAAATAGACTCGGAACTTTTGCACTGCTAACAGAACTGCAAGTGCCTCTCTCTCGGTCGCGGAATAGTTTCTTTTGTGTTTGATTTAAAGTTCGGCTAAAAAATGCCACGGGCTGCTTATTTTGCGAAAGTACCGCTCCTACCGCAT